CCAGGGTCCCATTCAATATTTGAATGGGCGGAAAGTCCCAGCAGCAAGGCCGTGTGGTCAGTCATAAAACTCAGGGTGGCGGTTGCAAAAAGAAAAGGGGAGAGGAAAAGGGAAGGGAAGTGCAATAATAAATGGAATGGTCTGTGAGCAGGGAAAATCGTAGGTGTGGAAAAAAATATCCTCTCATGACTGATAGATTACCCATACCCGGTGCGGTGGGTTGGTTTGCACCTGGGCTGGTATCAAGCGTTACCAGCTAGCCAGGCAGACAAGCATAGATGAGAGAAAAAGAGAGCGAGAGTGAGAGGGAGTGTGTCGGAAAGATGATGAAGATTGCTTTACACAGCCCAATTAGATCCTATAATACCTCTCTAGCCTTTGAATGTTATTGTCGAGGCATTTGCAATGGAGGTGAAGCCACTCTCTGATGGTTTGAGATAGCAGTCATGTTAGCAGACTCACAAGCTGACTGCAAAGAGGGGAGGGAGGACCTCATGACTTGCAGAATAATGCGATAGAGCAGAGCCAACTGACCTTAAGTCCGGAGAGCACTCAGCATCCGTAGCATCCCCGGTAAGAACAATTTCTAGCGTTGCAGTGACCATGGTGACTGAGCGGTGCAGTGTTGACAATAATTTACCAACCGTAGCGGGTAAAATACATTACCTGTAGGGGCTGACGGGTGAGTCTGTCCAGCCCGCGCGTGGCGAAACCACCGCTCCCCCAAGCTTACCTTACCGGCTTTATTGCCTCCCAACAAGCAGCTACGGACTTCCCTCTAAAGATGATGATTTATCATCGGCGTCTCTGGATGTGGAAGACAAGTAGTAGATCAAGTTGGAAACTTCGATTCAAGAATACAAGTAGTACACAAACAACCACAGGTAGGTATAGGTATATGACAAGCCCGTTGCCCTTCTAAGAATACAAAATGAAAGAATGAATCACAATGCCACACACAGTAGGATAATGATAATTCAAGGTATGAGGCGAAATGCCAAGTTCACCACTTCAATAATGTCCTTCGATCAGCGTCATTGATACTCTCATGGACCCATTGTAGATCCGGCCTCAGCCTGGTGAGGAGGAGCATCCTTTCTTGACCGTGCCATCTCCCACCACACGCGCTGTCCAGATGATCGAGCAGAACCGGCGCGGGCTTTGCTCTGCGTCTGCTCGTCGGGAAGTGTGCGAAAAGAGGTGAACCCCTGCGTCAAGGAAGTCCGGAATCGATGGCTCAAGTAAAGCATCCAGAACATGGCAATGCTGGTGTATACGGGGACCGCATTGCGGATCTTCAGTCCCGACAGAGCAGGGGCTTCGTCCGCGGGTGGCGAGGGGAAGGCCATGAGGAGGCTGTTGGCAATAGGTAGCACGGCGCAACCCGCAATACCCAGGTACACCCCATAAGGTTGGATGCTGGACTGGTACACCTGCAGAAAGCCTTCGTCGGCTGTCTGTCGGCGGAATCGGATGTAGACGAGACAGGCACCGAGCCATGAGATTGAGCCAGACGTAGTGATGAAGTACAGCAATGAGTTGTGCACAGAGGAGCTAGACACCGACACCGACAGATACCCAAATACCGAGAACAAGGCGGAAGCAACAACGGCCACATACGGCACGCTCAGTCGGTTGCGGGCCGTGAACAGGGTGGGGGCATGGCCAGTCTCCGCCAAGGCACAGAGTGTGCGAGATGAATGATGGAGAAAAGAGCGTCCAGAAGCAACAGAAGAGATGCAAATCATCGCCCGAGCAAGTATAGATAGCGCTCGAATGCCAGTCTGATCGATACCAACGACGAAGGGTGAAGCTCCGGCCCCGAGGCCATCGTTCGTCAACAGAGGCTCGTCGAAGGGACTCATGAAGGTCATCATGAAGGCACTGACAGTGTAGAGCGTGAAGAGCAGAAGGCTTGAAAGCCGTGTCGACCGCAGGATGCTTGAAGGGTTCTCTACTTCACGACGCTCGACCTTCTGCACGATCAACTCCGGAACGAAGGAGAAGGCAATCACCGTGTAGAGAAGACACTGGAGGAAGCCCAGAGCGCGACCCCCATTTCCGGGAACCAGGTACTCGCTAAACGGGCCAGGCTCATGCCAATAATGAAATCCTCGGATTGATGTGCCAGGAATACCTCGAATGGCCATGTAGATGGAGACAATCATGAATCCGACAGTTGTGAAGAGCTTCAAGCCGGTGAATATGATCTCGCTTCGCATAAATTCCCGTTCTGGAAGCATGTTGAAGAGGAAGATCGCAAGGGTGACTGCTGTGATCCGTATAGCAACGGAGGGCGCCGGATCCCACTGACCGAGACTGACCATCGCGGTGGTAACTTCGAAAGGTACCATCATTGCCAGAGTATACCATCGTAAGTAAGCCAGGGAGAATCCGAGATGACCTGAGCTGTACTGATACCCATGGGTAATCAGGGTACCAAAGGGACGAGGCTGATGGGCTGCCACTTCAGCGACGGCGGTCGTCAGGCAATACATCAGAATGGAAAGGAAGACATATGAGCCAACGAGTGCTGCTGGACCACCGACGGCCAAGGCCTGACCGGCACCGATGAAGAGACCCGTTCCAAGAGTTGAGAGAATCATTGTGTATGGTGGGATCAATAATGATGGTGTGTATATACTGGTAAAGACTGGAAGGGAGGTATGCGTATGTATAGAAGAAGAATGCTGAAGAGGTGAAGAAGAAAAGAATTCGAGGAGGCGGGAGGTGGTTTTGAGTCGAGAGAAGAAAGGCGTTTGGCACCTTCCTCGTTCAGCGACGCCAACATACACCACCAACACGGAAAGACTGAGTCCGGACCTCGGAGATAGAAGGCAGGTACATGTGAGGTCCACGGTGCAGTGTGGGCTACAGGCTGTACGTAAGTTGCTATTACCTTCTGCGAACCTGGATCGGATGATAGAAGGAAAGTGCGTGGGAGGTGAGGTAGTCGAGGCCCAGATCCAGCTGGGCAAGTGTCAAGGAAGACCGACCACCAAGACTGCACCCGGAAAGGAACGTACTGGGTAGCGATGCATGGGTATCATTTCTACTACCTAGTAAAGGAATATAGCAGGAGTGCGAGATATTAAGCAGAAATTAAGCAGATATTAAGCGACGATCTATGGCCCTTACCAAGGTGCGATCCACACCAAACGCCTCTTGAGCATGGATAGGAAATTTGACCAGGAAGACAAAGACCTAATGGTAAAACATGGATAATAGAGAGTGCTGGAAACAAGATCATGTCCTCGCGACGCTGATATGGGTATACTTAGCGCCTGCAACCTGATAAATCTAATCGACAAATTCCAGCCAGGGAAGTAAATCACTGAGAAGCCATATCAGTTTCGGCATATTCGAGCCATTGCCCTGAAAGAGACTTCTTCCAGAAGCGCACAGCACCATCATCACCCGAGGAGATGAGGCAATCACCTAACAGATGTTAGACTTCCGGTCATAGTGACCGTGAGGGAGGAACTGTAGTACTTACCGGCGTAGGAAAAGCCCACTTGCCACACATCAAGGTGTTTGCTATCAATACAGGCGACTTCCTTGTACGAATGTTTGAAATTGGAATCATCTGTTGCCGCACGGTCGGATAGCGAGGCAGGGGCATGATTTGCCAGAGCTGATCCAATTCCCGACTGGGCTTGCGTGCGCACTGATAGCGACTGCGAGGCAGATCGAGAATGGCTGCCATTTTGTTTCTTGGTCCTGGTTTCGGACGGGAAGGTGTAGACTTCAAATACACGAATAAACCCGTCTTTGCACCCGCTTGCAATCAAATCGTATCCGCGAACCGAGCCATTGGCCCAGGAAATGTCTCGGACCAGACCACCATGGCCGCTTAGCTCGATCGCATGGTAAAAGCGTCGATTGGCATCGGTGCGGTACACTTTAACACTGTCCATAGCTGCCACCACTAGAGAAAGGCTTTTCCTGTCCCACGATGGCGAGACTGAATGAGTGATGTCCGTAGGGTCGTGGTGAAACTGGACCTTGAAGCTTGTTTCCTCCCCTCTCTGAGGCGCACTACAGACACGGAATTGATCCAAGGGCTGCCAATCGGCAAGGGTGTCCGGGCTGACAGGCTCCATGACCATTAGATAGCCGTCGCGCGTGATTACCGCGAGCCACGATTCAAGATCGATGTTGCGAAAGTCAATGGAGACGAACGGGTGGCGCTGCGGCGCTGTCATGCGAAAGATGGATCTGAAACGCCGGCCCGAGTTGAGAGGCTGCGTAACATCTTCTTGCCATATCTTGCATTTCATATCTTCCCCCACGCTGCCAATGTGCTGGCCAGTGAAAGGTCCATTCCAAGTCGCCTAAACAGCCTATCGTCAACACAAAGCAAGTTTCTGCGGTCGGTGTTAAGACAGCTTACATCGCGGATTTCCGCGTCATGGGCGCGCCATGTATCTACTAATCGCCATTCCCCGTCTTTCTGGTCCCAAACCTTCATGCGGTGGTCGGTCGAAGCCGTTAGGATGCGATTGCCATAGAAGTTGAATCTGGTCACTGACACCAGGTCACGATGACCGGCATCGAAATCCGCGAAACCCGACATGGATGTGGTATGCGAACCCGGGATTTCACCCCCAATTAGATGGGCGAAACAACCAGCCTCGCAGCCACCGCCCTTGACACAGGATGAGACACGTCGACAGTCAGCTGGGAGCTGGAGGGGTAGTAATTCAGGGTTGGGGGGAGTTGTGCTGATGCTTTTTTTGGCCTATCCATGCGTCTCCGATAGCTCCCCTTCTCCAATTGTACCAGATAGGACATGCATGTGAAGCACTGGGATTGTTGGGATCGCAGCTGGTTTGTCACTCAGTCATCCATTCATTGATTACCTAACACATTTGTTATCTGATGCGCATGTGCCTGAGCCGCTCAGACCGCCTTCTTCAGGTCACCAGGCGGTGGAGTTACGTCGGCAAAACGAGATGCGTCGTACGCCTTTCTCCACCATTCCCTAATGCCACCTTGCCATTCTTCGTAGTCTTTTTTTTTCTTAACACATGCTGGAGACTCGTCAATCTTGATTCCTGGGGCTGTGAAGCCGGTATGCTGATACTGTCTCGCGCGCGATGACTTTAGTCAATTCGAGCTCTCTCTCCCACCATGAGGCCTGGCGCCTCTTCCTCTTGGTGGCAGTATGCGTCGGCATCCTGTCCAATACATTTCAAGGCGAAGGGGCACCCCTGATCGCGTCAGTTGCCTTCAGTGGCATTGCATTTGCAGTGACATTTAGTATGATCCGTTGGCTCGGGCCTACTTTCCTCAAAGCAGGGCTGAAGGGGAAGGATATGGCCAAACCGAATAGGCCCGAAATGTATGTGCTTCTATCTGTTCGCCGATCACTGTACAATGGTCGCGAACGTGTTATTGATCAGAATCATGGTGATTAATGTGTTCACGGCTCAGACCAGAGACCATGGGAGCTGTTTGCTCCATTGTATATCTCCTTGCGCTCATCTTCTTCATCCCTTTCGCATTTTACAAAGATATCGTGGCAGCGACCTCCGGGGGAGGTAATCGCGATGTTGTTATTGAAACCCAACACGTTGAGCATGGTCGCATGCTACATCGGTTCCCTCATGCAAAGGTTTGCCACTCTCCATAGCAAAGGACGCCTTCTGTATGCTAATAACCAAATCAATAGCTTGCCTCCTACCTCTCCGGGTTGCTCTCTCTTCAATGCATTGTTATTCTCGGGATTGGCGATGACTTGCTCGACATTCGATGGCGGCATAAAGTTCTCATCCCCGCCTTTGGTGCGATCCCAATGCTTATCGTATACTTCGTGGATTTCGGGGTCACGCAAGTGGTTGTGCCCGTTCCTCTGCAGCCCTATCTGGGACCGTTCATTGATCTCGGATGGCTGTATTACGTGTACATGGCTGCTGTGGCCATCTTTTGTCCCAACTCGATCAACATGTTGGCGGGGGTCAACGGAGTGGAGGTTGCGCAGTCGCTCGTGATAGCAGTCTTGCTGATTGCGAATGACGCACTGTACCTTGCGCCGGTGACGCCTTACCCGCATCCTGCGACTGACTCGCATCTGTTCTCGCTGTACTTTCTCTTGCCATTTCTCGGAGTATCTTTGGCCCTTCTATGCCACAACTGGTACCCCTCCAAGGTCTTTGTCGGGGATACGTACTGCTATTTTGCAGGAATGGTCTTTGCTGTTGTCGGCATTCTTGGCCACTTCAGCAAAACACTGCTCCTCCTGTTCATCCCGCAGATCTTTAACTTCGTATATTCCACCCCCCAGCTGTTCCATCTGATCCCATGTCCACGCCATCGCCTACCAAAATTCAATTCCGTGACCGGGCTGTTGGATGCATCCGTGACGGAATGGGCGGTACCGCCTGCGCCACTGATCGCCGCCGCATTGGAACTCCTGCACAAGCTGCGCCTGGTTCGCGTCACCAGAAACGAGAACGGTCAAATCGTGCAGTCCACGAATCTCACTATTCTCAACCTGTGGCTCGTTTGGATGGGTCCGATGAGGGAAGATCGGCTCGCATTGAGCATGGTTGGTCTGCAGACTGTGTGCGGGCTATTAGGGCTTTTTGTGCGACACCGTTTAGCTCTGCTTGTTTTCCGCGAGGACAACCGGGCGTTCAATTATGTATAGATGCCGCTGAGCTTCGACTCGTATAGATAGGTACCGGTTTCGAGCATAGACTTATTCATAGCCCTTGGGTCCACTATCCAAAGAAGCAAAGAATGTACGTACAAGTAGTCTATGAGTAGGTAGTAGGTAGTAATGAGATTACTTCAGATCAGATACGATACGCCGACACACCAACTGACCGCCCGACCCACAGTGACGGCGCAAAAGAGCTCCAAACTCGAAACTGGATCGGCCCAGAATTCCCAGCTGGCCGGACGCCCGACGGGATCTAACCAGAACCTTCACCAGCCTTGCCCTCTTTTGGTCGAGTAGCGCCGTTCATGGTGTAATCTATCGTCACCGGATATGATGCCATTCCCAGGGAGTCAACTCCATACTACACAGTAATGTACTAGGTATAAACACCACACCTATTCTTTGCAACTGTAATGAGATATTTCAGAGCAATGCTGCATGTCGGGCATAATGTCCCGCCTAAGAGTCATTCCTACATGACGGAGTCATTCATTGCTGCAGTGGGAATTTCGAATCAGACTCGGTCGGTTAGTCATACTACCGTCGCTAACCGGCCCCGCCCCCGACATCGGACTCCACTACCCCCCAGAAAATTCGGTCCCGTCCAATCGGCAAAGGGCCATTGGGTGCTGACCACCGAGACCGGCGTTGCCCCTCGAAAGGCGGCGGTGCGACATCGCGGCGGGCGCTGCTGTTAAAACCATCTCTTGTCTCTTCTTGTTCCTCTGCTCATCAATCAATCATCCTTCACATTTGTCTCGCGTGCCTTGTGCAAGCTATCTCTACTCTCGCCCTCCTCATCCAGCTGCACAATCACACCCCCCCTTTTCCTTGAATATTTCTCTCAATCCTCGCCCCTCATGCCCGGCGTCGACAAAAAACCCAAGACCTTGTATGACAAGGTCCTGAACCACCACATTGTCAACGAGCAGGAAGATGGCACCCTCCTGATCTACATCGACAGACACCTTGTTCACGAAGTGACATCCCCACAGGCCTTCGAGGGTCTCGAGAACACCGGTCGTCAAGTCCGCCGGCCGGACTGCACTCTGGTGACCGTTGACCACGTACGTTGACTCCTTTAACACCCGGTGATGCATGGTAAAAGCTGATTGGGATGCTCTTCTGCAGAACATCCCTACTTCCTCCCGAAAAAACTTCAAGAACGTCGAAGAGTTCATCCAAGAGAACGACTCCCGGCTGCAAGTGACCACCCTCGAGGAAAATGTGAAGAAATTCGGCCTCACCTACTTCGGGATGGGCGACAAGCGCCAAGGTATCGTGCATATCATCGGGCCCGAGCAGGGGTTCACTCTGCCCGGCACCACCGTCGTCTGCGGTGACAGTCACACCTCCACCCACGGCGCCTTCGGTGCGCTGGCCTTCGGTATCGGCACTAGCGAGGTCGAGCACGTCCTCGCCACACAGACCCTCATCACCCGCCGGAGCAAGAACATGCGCATCCAGGTCGACGGCGAGCTCCCCGCGGGCGTTACCAGCAAGGACGTCGTCCTCCACATCATCGGCATCATCGGCACGGCCGGCGGTACCGGTGCGGTCATCGAGTTCTGCGGTTCCGTCATCCGCGGCCTGAGCATGGAGGCCCGGATGTCCATGTGCAACATGTCCATTGAGGGCGGTGCTCGTGCTGGCATGATCGCCCCCGACGAGGTCACTTTCGAGTACCTCAAGGGCCGCCCCCTCGCCCCCAAGTACGACAGTGCCGAGTGGAAGAAGGCCGTCAGCTTCTGGAAGAGCCTGGCCTCCGACGAGGGTGCCCACTACGACAAAACCATCGTCATCGACGGCAAGGACATCATCCCCACCATCTCGTGGGGTACCTCCCCGCAGGACGTCATCCCCATCACCGGCGTGGTGCCCAGCCCCGACGACTTCCAGGACGATGCCCGCAAGCTGGCCTGCAAGCGCGCCCTCGAGTACATGGGTCTGACCTCGGGCACCCCCATGAAGGACATCGACGTCGACAAGGTCTTCATCGGCTCCTGCACCAACGCCCGCATCGAGGATCTCCGCGCCGCCGCCAAGGTCGTCCGCGGCAAGAAGATCGCCGCAAACATCAAGCGCGCAATGGTCGTCCCCGGCTCCGGTTTGGTCAAGCAGCAGGCTGAGTCGGAGGGGCTGGACAAGATCTTCGTGGATGCGGGCTTCGAGTGGCGTGAGGCCGGGTGCTCCATGTGCCTGGGCATGAACCCGGACATTCTCTCCCCGCAGGAGCGCTGCGCCAGCACCTCCAACCGCAATTTCGAGGGCCGCCAGGGCGCCGGAGGCCGCACCCACCTGATGTCGCCCGCCATGGCCGCCGCCGCCGCCATCGTGGGTAAGCTGGCCGACGTGCGCGAGCACCTGGTGTCCAGCCCCGTGCTGGGCAAGGCCCACACGGCCGTCAACGTCGATGAGGAGCCCCAGCAACACCACGAGGACCCCAGCAGCGAGAGCGAAGCGGAGCGCATCAACGACCAGCCCGCGGACAACGAGCCGCACACCAACACCATTGCCGGAGGCAGCGGCTCCTCCTCGGGCAGCGCCGGCCTCCCCAAGTTCACGACGCTCAAGGGCATCGCGGCGCCGATGGACCGGTCCAACGTGGACACGGACGCGATCATCCCCAAGCAGTTCCTCAAGACTATCAAGCGCACGGGGTTGGGCAGCGCGCTCTTCTACGAGCTCCGCTACAAGGACGGGGCGGAGATCCCCTCGTTCGTGCTGAACCAGGAACCCTACCGCAGCGCCAAGATCCTGGTGGTGACGGGCCCCAACTTCGGCTGCGGCAGCTCCCGCGAGCACGCCCCCTGGGCCCTCCTCGACTTCGGCATCAAGTGCGTCATCGCCCCCTCCTTCGCCGACATCTTCTTCAACAACACCTTCAAGAACGGCATGCTCCCCGTCGTCATCTCCGATGAGTCCGCGCTCGCCAAGATCGCCGCCGAGGCCTCCGCCGGCCGCGAGGTCGAGGTCGACCTCGTCAACCAGCAGGTCAAGGACGCCCAGGGCACCGTCCTGGCCACCTTCGACGTCGACGCCTTCCGCCGCCACTGCCTGATCAACGGCCTCGACGACATTGGCCTTACCCTGCAGATGGAGGACAAGATCAAGGCCTTCGAGGCCCACCGCTCCCTCGAGACCCCCTGGCTCGACGGCAGCGGCTACCTCAAGCGCGGCAAGCGCGCCGGCGGCGGTGCCACCATGATCCAGGCCGCCCCCGTCCCCAAGACGAATCGTGGCGACGTCAAGGGGGAGCCTCTGGAGTGGTAGGCTGCGTTTCGTCGCCTCCCTCATCTCCTCTTCTCTTTCGAACTTTCGGATACACGTTTCTTGTTACGACAATACCATAATGCAGCTTTTTCTCTTTTTCTCTTTCTTTCTTCTCCTTTCGGGTTCTATTCTATTGTTGCCTCGCAAACAAAAAAACAGCTATATATCACTTGGTGTGCTTCTCGGGCTTATGTTGTTGAATGCCCCGGTCTGGTGCAAAAAGGACATTGGGAGGGAAAGGAAATAGACAGGAAATAATTAATTTCACATCTCATTGAGACTACTTCAATTCCTTCTTTTCTTCATTTATGTAAAGTGTAGATCTCACCAATGACGCTATCCTTGGCGTCCTTCCGTACCTCCTAAGCTCCTCACATCGGCGTGCAGGATGAATGCCTTGCCAACCTCACGAACGCCTACGGCCACTAATAAGCCAAGCGACGCAACCACTCAAAAATCCTTCATTTGTGTATATCCATTTCAACTGATCCCAGTTTTTAATATTCATTCAACCAGGCTACTCTCTCGAAGGAGTTCCTAATTAGAGCCACATCCTCCAGCTACAGAACTGACTTATCGTCTGGTAGCTATATACCTAAAAGAAAACATGAAACAAAACAGCGATTAACATATTCCAAATTAAGCATATTAGGTTTTAATATTCGCAAAACAGCAACCCAATAGAGAAACATCCATTCAGATTTGCAAGTGACCCAAAAAACAGAAAAAAAAAAAGCAAAGAGCTCAAGCGAATTACCAAGCAAATCATTGAATCGACTGGAGGGTCCTTCCAGATAGCAGCAGGAAATAAAGACATTGGGGAAGAATAACATGCAAAACATTCAAGCTGAGTAAAAACAGAATTTCCAAAAGATGCATCCTCATGTTCATGGCTAGGTATCAATGAGCGTAACGACATTCGAACCGGAGGGGTCATAACCATTATAAACATCTGCATTCAAAACAAGCATAGACATCGTAGAAAGAGTGTGGGGAATCACGTATGGGGGATATATATACGTCGACTGGGTAGTGAGGAAACAGGATGTGAGGTGGCTCGACTCGACACCAGTCAACTATCGAAGGAATGTTCAAACGTGCCAAGTCGAAAGGAACTGTGGAGGGAGAAGAAGGAGAAACGATAATGTACAAGGCGAAGAGGGTGCGGGGAGGGCCAGGGTATGCGTGGAGATGGATGAGCGGGTCTAGGGATTTCTCTATGCGTTATGCTTTCTTGTTGTTCGCTCATGTCCTTGCTTTTTGTCGAGAGATAGTCACTTGAGCTTGATGGCCTCGGTATATTACCACCAGAGCTTAGGGCTTCGTGAGCTGTTCTTTACGGAAGAACATGAGGTACCCAGCACTGTCATTCTGTTAGCCGTGATTCTTATCACTCCGTCAGAGACAAATAGACGTACCAAATGAGCAGCTGGAAGAAAAGTGCAATCCAGAACCAGGCATTAGCAATTGAGCTGACCCCGGCTGTGATATCCGGCGATATTGGGCCCGGGCCGATCTTATTTGGCCCAAATGCTCTTGCGCAGATTGTGGCGATCGATCCCAACACCTGAGACGCAAGAAGCGTGAAGCAGATGTGCATCCTGGTCATGGTTTGCAACAATATCATACCGAATCCTAAGCCTTGGATGGAGTCCAACACTCCGAGCCACAGCCAAACAGCTCGCGACACGAGAGCACCGCTTGTGTAGCTACCGGCCCAGGGAAGGAATAAACCAATACCGGAGACACCCCACCATATCTGTGCCCAACGCGGTGCACCCAGGCCGCATGCAAAGACCGGAAGGATCCAGCTATGCGTTTTCGAGAGATAACCGAATAGGAAGAGCCAGGCGGCCCAAACGAATCCGAAGAAGACCACGCAGAGCACTCCTACCTCCCAGGGCTTGGCGTGGGCAGAACTCCAGAGGACTGCAAACGATTAGCGTCTATACGACCATTCCATCCAAAAATACTTACAGCTCCAATTGCGTCCATACGGTGCACTGAGGAAGAAGTTTGAGACGATGACGACCACGAAATTCCAGAGAATAATCTTGCGCCGGAATACAGATTGGTAGAATGAGGGCACTTTACCCGGGGTCTGGTGGTAGTAGCTCGGAAGACCGAAGAAAAGCAGCAGACCAATGGCCCAAAGGAAGGCAGCGATAGGAAGACAAATAGCTCTGGAAATCTGTCAGTAATCGACTTCGAAGTGCGCATTGAGGAAACATACGTCATCTTCCAGGTGTTCGTGATATCACCCTGGACATTTGTAGCACCACTCTCAACGGCCTGAGAAATGGCTGTACCCCAATACCACAAACCAATGATATAGGCTTGCTGGCATCCTTGAATTATACATGCCCGGAACACCCATTCCTTGACCGGTGCGCCGTTCTCATCACCAAAATTCAGCGCAAAGAATAACGAACCGCTGGCCGAGGCCGCAGCGTAAACACCCGCGCCCACGTTCTGAATCCAACCGCGAGCAAATCCATCCTGCTCAAAATGTGCCACTCCGATGATGACGAATGAAAGACCGTACAAGAGCCAAGGAAGCGATAGAACAAAGACCGACTTGAATGATCGGAAGAAGAACCACCAGACAATGGAAGCGACGAGGTAAACTGTCGCGATACCATAAAGTTTCTCTGCTGTTTCTCCCACCTCGCCCGTGAGCAGTGTGATCTGATAAGAGTTGGCAGCGATAATCTGGCCGAGACCAAGGAAGAAGGAATACAGAGGCCAGTCACCAATCCGGATTTGCATCCATTTTCGAAGACCAGACGGAGGAACGTAATCATTCCCTAGGAGGAATTCATCCTTCTCTCTGCGCTCAGGGCTTCTGCTTTCCTGCGAACCCATCTCATCGGCCCTGACCGAACTCATAGGTGAATTGTTGTCCATCTTCGCGTGGAAGACGGAAGAGGCGGGCGATTGATTGCGGCCAAGTCTGGCATCTCTGAACTTGTCAAACCACTTCTTCTCACTCTTCATAAGGTACTCCTCAATGCAGAGCTGAGATTCAGAGTTTGAACCATTCAAATTCTCCAGCCTCTTCTCAAACGCCTTGTAGTACTCGCCAGTGCTGTCGGTGAAAAACGGATCGACCTTCTGCAGCTTGTAATCTTTCTTCTCTCCAATGATGGTATCAACGGAAAGAACAGAGGCACTGCTGAGTCGGTTACCGGGCTCGTTGGCATACTGTCTCACGGGCGACACAAGAGCTTCTTCGGGTTCTGGACTTCCGGGGCTAGTTGTAGTCAATATGGGCCTGGGCGGAAGCGAGCTTTGACTGGACTGTCTGCGACTGAAAAAATCCCTAGGCGGCGTTTTTCGAGGCATGTCCAATTGAGGGGTTGCATCGGTTCTGCGTCCTTCCTCTGCTTGTTCAGGAGTGAGTGTGTACTCCTCCTCGCCATAGTAGCTGGGGATGAAGTCGTCATCACTACTCTCCTCGGTGTTCGAATTGTTGGCAGGGTCTTCATGGCCCATGCTTCTCCTCAAACGACGGCGACCACGACGAACGAGGTGACCGGGTCCGGACCGTACACCAAGCGACAGCGTTCTGCTTAATCCTGATTTGGGCTTTTCGTTGGCGCCTGGGCTCGGGTCGCGACTGTACACAATTGTGTTTCGCTGCTGTGGTCCGTACGCGCTCAAACGGTTGATATTCGAATAACTTCCCTCGCGCGAGTGCGTAAGAGGAGGGGTTTGTACTCCACTGGGAGTAATGTGTCCGGAAGAGGCAATGGTAGGCGTCATCAGACCACTCGGGGTGTTGTATCCAGAAGGCGTCAGTGGCTGGCTATTTGACTTGGTCAGGCCCTTGCTATGAATGCGCATCGCAGTTGACTGGAGAATTTCCAAATCCTCCACCCACTGTGCGACAGGGAACCGTTGCTTCGCAGACCGCGCGCGCATCTTAGCCCGAACTTGGGGTTTCGAGTTCAATGCACTCGCGATTGCAAGCTTGAATTGATGCAGCAGATGAGACGTTGTTGTCGATTCAATATTATACCACCAACCAGGCATCTGGCCAAGACCTCCCACACGAGCTCCAATACCAAGGGCGCCTTTGCGGCCAAATTCCACCGCAACAAGTCCAAAAGGTTCATCACGAGACGGAATCAACGCGAACTCGGCTCCAGAGAAGATATACGGTGGAAGTGCTGTAAACTCAGGCTTAGAGAATACTCTCCCAGGGTAAACCTTCATCATCTGGTCGAGCTTTAACGCAGCGAATTTACCATAGAGATCAATAACCGGCCCAACACAGATCAGTTGAACATTCGGACGTGCTTCCAAGACAGCAGGCATCACGTCAGCGATGAGATCTACTCCCTTTTGCATAGACCAACGCCCAACGAAGACCAAAAGATCTGCGTTAGGATTCTGGTCTAGACCTGCCCATTCCTGTGCTTGCCGTTTCAATTCGCCTCTGCTTGCCTCGTAGAGAGGATCAACCTCGATTTCACTGTCCTTGGGGAGTTCTTTGTTCCATTCACCCGTGTCAGAAGGATCAGGATTTGGTAGATTTCCCACCTTCTTCAAGCCCCAGAAGATTGGGTAGCGAGCATATGACCGCTTGCCATACTTACGAGAGACACCAACAGCACCAAAGCCCTGCTGGTGAACACGAAGATAGCTTGCGCCCGCATGAAGCATATTGAAGACCTCGCCGAATTGGACGTAACGGCGTGCTGTATTGATGTCGAGGTTGAAAACTGAACAGACTTCGTCTCTCTCTTTCTGAGTACGCATAGGCCAAAGTCCCTGGAACTCAGCGTTGTGAAGCGAAAGGCAGACCGGGACTGTTTGTGGAAGAAGATAGAGTGGAGCAATTGAGCCGTGATAGTCATTAATATGGTATAGATCAATCCGGAAACGTTTGATGGCTTCAGCAATGCACTGGTTCCAAGCAGAGTAGTAAATTGCGCTGTCCAGGTCGTCCATACGGGCAGGGTAAGGTTCCGCCTTCGATTGTTGGCGGAACACCGGTGCGTCAAGAAGAACATATGTAATGTTCTTGATCACATGGTATTGAACCTTGACTTCGTACGAGTTACCAAGCACCGTCACGAACATCGGATCCGCTGGCTGATCGACCGGGTATTCGACACCACCAACACATGGCACGACCCAGATCAAGTTTTGCTGTCCAAGGTGCTTTCCCATCAGCTGGGCCATGACACCAAGACCACCAATCTTGATCTTGATGCCCCAGTCCTCTATATCGTACTCCATGGTCGCAATAAGCGTGGTTCGTGTACGCGAGGCAGCGGCACCAAACGCAGATGTGCTTTGCAGAAATCCTGATTTGTTCGCAAAGCGAATCAGAGGATTCGACGATTGGCCATCTCGCTTATTGCCGAGGATCATGCCCAGGAATGACTTCTTCTCCATCACTCCGACCTGATTGAACTTGACTTGGTAGAAGGACTTCATGAAGGCATAAACCACAGCAATAGCGGTCAAAAGCGGGACCACCCACAAGATGATGTAGATGACCATCTGAGCGATTCTTGATCCAGTGGGCACCAGATTGATCTTCATAGTGCCATCATCAACCTTAACATTCCAGACCAAGTAAGGCGACGGAGGAATATCTGTGATGTTGACAGACAGTTGGCTGAGGGAGGACGGAGGCATGCGATCCAAGACTCCATCGCCATCAACGTCACCGAACACGAAGCTCTCGTCAGGTTTCCCATCCGGGTTCATGCCCCAGACGTTGAATTGACCCTGTGCTGGATACTCAGCGATGACTCGGAAGTTCCAGAAACCATCACTGTCCTGCTTGGCGACGTTATTCAACCCTGCATCGTATCCGTACTGATTGTATGGTCCGTTGAAGAAAAGGTGCGGGAAGCGTCGCGCAGGACCATTCCAGTCATAGTCACCCTCCTGAACGTAGTCACTGCTGCCAGTTAACTGACTCCAGTACTCGACTCGCACATGCTTTCCTTGCCACTTCTGTTTGTCCGTTCCGGACCAAGGCAATTCGTCAATGGTTGTGTTACCTCCAGTGTAGTTCATCCAAGCGGAGAAGGAACTTCCCCAATTCGTTGAATAACGCCATTTGTTAGCACCCGCCGCCCTGTGTTGGACGTAGAGGGATCCGTTCTCATTTCCGTGCACTAGACCCGTTGTGTAATTGGCAGAGGTAAAAACGATGGGATTGTCACTCTGACCAACGCGGAAAAGAAAGTGATCTGTGGACTGAGTGGATTTGCTACCAGAACCGGTAGCATTCTTCACAGTCAAACGATGAACACCGTTGTAAACCCCAGTCAGTTTCGCTGACCAAGACCAAGCGCTGGGCAGCTGAGCGACATATTGGGTGTCATTTGCGGTCATAGTCTTGCAATCAACGCTACCTTTGTCGATGGATGGTGTTTTGCCAGACTCGGTCTGCGAGGTGAATGAGATAGCCTTCGTTACAGCGTCACAGTCCATTGCTGTAGAGAACTCAATGCTGACATTGATATCCTCGGATTCACCTGCGCCTACCGTGGAGAGCAAGGGAGCATCGTGCCCGGGATTGAACTTGGTAATCATGGGGCGGGGATCGACAAACTGTGCCTTTGGGACATAAGCCCTGAATTCGAATGGTTTCAAGGTGATGCTGTCCAGGCATCCATTAAGCTCCTTCGAGCCGTTTAGGTGAAGTGCTTTGGGTCCAGACTTCAAGGTGTGTTCGTCGAATGGGTAGAAGAGGTTCTTGACGGTTGTCTTCGTTGTAAATGGCGAAATTAGGGCGCTGGCATTGCTTCCGCAATCAAACTTGTACTCCACAGTCTTGTTGTCATTCTGGTAGACAAGCCAAACCGGCATGTTACCACCCTCATCGCCTAGATTCTGCAGACTAGATACTCTGTCTCTTAGAATGGACCACATTCCCGTCTCAGTAGCTGTGCCATTCGATCCTGGGTAAACGATATCCCGTGTCTGCTTTGAGAGGGTCTGCAGAGAGTAGCCGTCGTTCAAGATAGGGAACTCTTGTCGCAGTTGATACATATGCTTGATAATGTTGTGAACAGGGTGGGAAGGATCTCGGTGATCATACGCCACCTTTGGGTCGTGACAGCCCTGTCGGCCCTGTTCGATGGGCCAGTCATAATACTGGGTCGCATCAAGAGCCCAACAACCGTGAGTTCTCCAGGCTGTAGCAGGTGACATGGCTTGCCGTCCATAAACGTAGTTATCTGCCGTGGCATCCAAGATGTAGAAGGCCTGCTCTTCTCCCCAAAGCAGTAGCGGGATTCCTGGCATTTGCAGAGTTGTAATAAAGAGACCTAAAAGGTTCCGCTCCACACCGTACTGAATTGCGGGCCACCGAAACACATCTTGATTTGTTGTGCCATACATGTGCCTCGGGTCGAATTTGCCAGTTTCAGCATTGATCAAATCGTTGCTTTGAACCATAATGTTCCATGAGTCGACCCAGTCGAGAGGAGTGTCGTAACCGGCCGCGAGATTACCGCTCATACCCAAGAAGCGTGTGAGGGTGCGGTAAACTGAATAATGGAAAGCGGCTCCGTCAAGAGCCTGGAGGTCATTCTCACGGAGGAAATACTGCTGGCTGGACTTGTTCGTCATGGCCATCGCATCCATAGCAGATTTTGGATACTGGTTCGGTTGTCTTCCTCGCCCCAGATAGATTGAGCCAAAATTGTTACCACCAGTGATCTCACCAGGTAGGAAGAAATTGTTCTTTCCAACACTGCGAGCACACTCTCGGTAATGGCTCGATATATCTCCGAGAGCATCCACAGTAGACTGAGTCGCCTTGTCGTAACGGAAGCCGTCAATATCCAGAGCCTTAATGATGTTACAGGAGTGAACCTTGATCCGCTCTCTAACACTGGGATGCCATTCACGGAGACGATCTTGAACGGACGCGAACTTCGCCAGCTCACGCTGCCAATCAGGGTAGACACCAAAAGCCTCCCTGTCACCGTATTGATCGAAATCACTGTTATAACATCCAACGAGCTCATCACGAACGCTTTGATCCACGGGGTAACCGGTTTCGTTCCAGAAGCGAGGGTAGTCGCAAGTATCATTATAGTCGTTTCCAGGGAGGAAGTCCACATACTGGCGTTCGGATTTCCAGATAGTCTTGTGTTCCTTGACTGAGAATGGAGTCGTCACGTTCAGGTAACTCTCAAAACCGATCAAATCACCCAAGCTAGAGTCTCGTCAGTCCGTCCATGCTTGATGAACTGTGCGAGAAAGTCCCCTCACTTACGTTGCGATAGTGTTGTCGAAGAGGACATACATTCCCCGCTTGTGAATCTCATCGATGGCATTTCTCCAGGTTTGAATGGTACCATAATGTTGATCGAGGAGTGTAGTATCGAGAGCAGAATAGCCGTCCGATCCCCAAGGCTGATTCATCAATATAGTACCGGCGAGATAGATGCCCTGTGTTACAATATTAGTACATCCCGTGCCTCGAAGCAAGAAAGACGGATTGTCAATCTGTAGAAGAAGGTATCGAACCTTGATACCCAAGCCTTGTAGATAGTCCAGCGTATCCACCAGTCCAACCGCATCACCACCATGGCGCATTTGAGTTGAATCCAAGTCATGTTCGAAGAGGGTGCCGTTAATATTATCGTTCGTGGGGTCACCATTGACCCACCGGTCAATGAAGAGTGTGTAGAAGGGGAACCGCCAGTTCTTCGGAGAAGGTGTATACTTGTGACCCGGCCACGACGGAGCTGTATACTCGGCTGGGTTGGTGGTGTCGTTGTTCACGTTCAAGTTGTAGTCAACCAAGGATTCTTCATAGGGCCAGCCTGAGACTGTGGCTGCGAGCAATGCTGCCACACAGCCGGAGAACCCCCACTTCATCGTCGACGGCTTTTTGAATCAACCGTTTCCTATTTCCGCCTGTTTTATATACTCGACATATGTTCGGAACAATGAGAAAGTCTTGAAAGAAGGAGAATATCAAGACAACTGCTCGGGTCGAGGGGTCTCGTGGCAAGGGGAAAAAGTCTGCTCAAAAGTATCGTAGCTTGTCTTCGTCCCTCTTTATGTTATTGGAAATCTATCCAAGGATGACGATAGCGAATGAGAATTGAGAGATAAACAGGGAGGAGTGGCAGAGAAACCCACACTAGATGCAGCTGCTGTGGCGGCAACGCAAGAATAGAATAAACATTTATGTGGAACTGAAAAAAGAAAAGAAAGAAAATGGCGAAGAGAGCAATATGCCCGAGTATATGTCCGATTTCTTGCAGGAAGAATAGAAGTCCCAAGTGGATCTGTGAGAGGAAGCATGATTAACAATGATATACAGCTAGAGAGCGAGAAACCAATATCGTCTGATCGAGGAAAAAGAAACGAAGATCTTTACCCAGCAGACTCAAGCACCTGGCTGCTGCGGCTGCTTCCAAGCAAGTAAGCAAGCAAGCAGTCAGCCAGTCAGCCAGATAGAATGGCGGACATTTGGAGGGAGGCATTGCGGTGATCTGGATTGTGCTATGGGAGTTTGGGCCCATTTTCCCAGACCAGCCACCAGAATAGCTATGATGACTGGAGTCACATTATTCGTCGCTGAAAGCGATTGAGTGCAGGAAGCCATTAGCTTTGATGGGAAGCTGGGGGGTGAGTAGTAGTGTCAGTGGAGGATATGATCGGAGACACGAAGCGAGGACGAAGCAGTTTCGTCCGAGCTCTGTGTTCGGTCAGAATGTTAGTGAGGTTGCCACGGAGTACTGTGTACCAGTAACTTCGGTAGCCGGTGGCTAAAGTGTGCAGTGAGTAGGTACTCTAGAGTATACGATAAGTGGGTAGTAATGTACAGTACTAGACACCTAGTAGGCAGGTATGTAGTACTATGTAGCGATGTAGCTATGTAGCTATGTCGCTATGCCGCTATACAACTATGTGCACTAGCTACGTACTGTAGCTGCGGTATGTATACGTAAAACCGGTACTGGTAATCACACGGGCCGTTACCGAGCCCGTACCTTGCCTCTTTGGGACCGAGTCCAAGAGTCAGTGCAGTGGAGCGGAAGCGCAAAGACCACTAGCGCCATCTAGGCAGGGCGATCATCTTCAAGGTTCAACTCAACCTCTGTCAGACACACCTGAAATGGAATCCAGAAAACCAGGCATTTCCTCTGATATATCAGATGCTTTATCCAAACTAGTCCCAGCTCCTTGAACATGTTGAACATGGACCTCGTTTTCACTTACCCTCAGACCCCCATCGTACATGCCGACCATCCTTCGGTGTGTATCCTTCGAGGACAATCTCATGCAAGATATAACGCACGATTTGATAGTGCCTTTGATAGGACATGCCACCGGAACTCGCCCCAGTGCGTCGTCTATCAGCAACTTTGCCGGGTTGTCGGTACGATAAGCTCACCCCGTTCGTTCAGAGCAAGGATAGGGATCTACGGTACATCCCACCTTCATGGCAGTGTCTCCTCTACAAACCGATCGAGCGTTCGATGCCTGCTGCCGATTCACAGTACGCGCGTCCAAAGAGACTGGTTGTAGACAAAGACAACAACAAAAGAAACAACCCATCGACTCTCAGCTTTGCTTTCGTGTTCACCCTTTCCGAATTCAGTCAGACAGGCTACAAGTCAAGTCGGATAACGTTCCACAAGGCAGTTCGAAAACCAATACAGAGGAGGGCAAGAAGGAAAAGGCCGCGACAAAATTGGTAAACACAAATAGATACATGCACGCTTCTGTTAAGCTGAGAGAGAAATATCAACTTCCTGTCTCTGCTATAAATAAACTTCAATATATGCTGTTCACGCGGCGCAAACCTATCAGCAACAGCGACGTATCCACGCACCACTCCATCATTGCGACAAGATGAGATTTCTAATCGGCTGGCCAATCGCGACTGTACGAAGCCTCCGAACATCATCTCACAATCTTACGCGATGGTGAGCTTCGTTCATCAAGGATTTGACTTCCTAAAATATCTTCTATCAATTCGCTGGCTATTTCGAGTGGATAACATCGTCTTCCGTCTTCGGCAAGCTAGATCTCTGGGTACTGCACAATCGCTAGACAGCCACCGTGTAGACGTGGTAGCTCATAATGCTGTAACCGTTGCTCAACGGACATCCCGGGATGACCGAGAGAGAAGAGACGCAACTTGTATTGGTGACACACCTGGGGCCATTGCTGGTATGCAAAGCCTCGGCTCAAGCATCAGTTACAGTGTCAAGCAGGTATGTCCTAAAAACCTATTGGTGTTTTGATCGATGTCTACAGATCAAAATTCGAAGTAGTGGGCCCGTGTCAAGAAGCTCAGCCATCAGCCACTGCAGGCGACTGCTACGAGCCGAACGTTGGAAACAGTCGATCATGGAATTCACGGAGAGAAAAGCAATGACCTGAGAGCAGGAAAGAACCCATTTCTCACGCGGTATCGTCACCAAAGTGGGGGGAAATAATGAGACGGGGCGGTTCTAATCATGAGTGCGCCGTACATAGCGATATATGTCGTATAAAAATCGATCATTCATGCTACAACGAACAATTTCATTGTCCCTTGCTTGCTGACTTGAGAAGAGAAAAACAAGAAATGTGAGTACTTCGAGACAATGCCTTGTTCCCATGCTCTTCGTATATGAGCTAATCAAATGACTAGATATCTTCTACGTAGGGTGGTAGTCAGAATATAGGCTCAAACCCTGCAAGGAGACTCAGCGGCGGGAGTCTCAGGAACCGGGCAAGGATTGGCTGCCCCTTTAGTTATCTGGTTTTACTCGGTACCGAGGCTCCGATCCTTGTCAGTGAGGAGATTTTATGACGAATTGAAAAGCCCCTCATCATACTCCGTAGGCGTTAAGTCTACTTTGCGATCTTGGGAACTCTTAAGTTGTCGATTGGACCAGGATTGTGCGGCAACAAAAAGGGATACACATACATACACAGTACAATGTCAGCCCATCAATCGAGCGTCTTGGCCATCGATGAAGGTCTGGTTCCAGGATTGATACGAATTTTCGTGCGACCCAGGAGCAAGGAAAACTCAATTGGGAGCGGGGGCAAAAAGTTTCCAAGGTTCGATCGCGAGCCTGAATGGCGTGTTATCAACTTCTTATAGTCTGGCCTAGCTGTGTATTGAGTTCCGGGGTTAAGGGCGGGGGTGCGGATGATGTATCCAAAGTGTTTCCCAAACGGTACCATAGCGATTGCAAACGCTCGGTACAAGTGAGGGTCGGAGATTTTTGACATCGGCTCATCTTCGAATTTACTGTCTTCCCCTTCCCTTAACCCCTTGCTTCGAAGTCGTTGGCTGCCTGCCTAATTTGTGGCGTTGGGACTTGGGACAACTGTCAAATCATAATGACATGTAATATGTACGGGTTCCACTTCTAGACCAGAACTCAAACGACTACACTAACGGGTACCTCAGTTCTGTACTAACTTCCGATACCTAAAATATCGTAGATTGGTATACTGTGAGGGCAATCCAAGTTCTGTGGATTCACAGTCAGCAGGTGTTGGGGTTGTGAACTGTTTTTGCTCGACAAGTCAGGCAAATCCGACCAGTCCTTCTACTATATAAAAGTGGGTGGGGATTCGAGGCTCAAAGCCTCGGCGACCGTTAGCCCTAAAGGCCTCGCTCCGATCATCGCGGCTCAAGTCGTCTATTCTAGGCTCTTCTTGGATGTTTAGCACTATCATCTCATGTAGCTGGAGGAAAGCGCCTTCCAGACCGCTTGTCGGGACTCAGAACCACCTACTATGGATATGAAACGTGATCCGAATTGACTCAACGTTCAAAATCAAAATAGCCACGGAGCTCAGAATAATAAAATGAACCCAGCTATGTCTCCCAGCTGGATCAATAGGCCTATGGGAGCTTTTTCTTCCCTCCATTAGGTAGGAAGGATTGGACTACCTACTCATTGCAGTCTTACTACTGCACAGTAGAGGAGCTCGTGTTGTCCATCCCATACTCAGCCGAACGGTAGCAGGTCGCCCATACTATTCTTCATGATACTAAGCATTGACAAATATTGTCCCATACTTAGTTCATCTTGTGCGGAAGTGATTCTTTGCCAGAGACAGAAGTTCTGTGCCCTCCAAGCGAGAGCCTAACCTTTCTTCATCATGTCCTGGCTGCTACTGTCAGGTTATCTACAGCTAAATGAGCGGTCGGAGCATCGGGTTCAGATCTGAGATCACCTACCATAGAGTGACAAGGCGCAGTGGCAATCAAGAAGCCCTTGCCGGTCATAATCGGTAGCAACCCCGTCGCGTTCCCGAGCCCAGGACCAGAACTTCCGCATTGGGGGTTTAACGCAACAATTCAACATGCGGTGTGACCAATGCTTATCAATAATGAATGCACCTCCAGTTGGAATTGCGCAGCGCTTGTTCTGCGGTTATGCGATGTGCACAATAGTATAACGCCATCGGTGGGGAGGCGGGAAACTATTTAGCAGACTTTGCTGCTGCATTACCGCTCCTGTGTAATGGGAAGGTTGCATGCGAAAGCTTTGCTTATCAGCTCGTCAAGATGAGCTCTCAAATATAAACCTGATCACCCAGCGTGCAGGTGTCGGGTATGTCTCATAGGCACATGGTCGGGACCGGTGGAGTCTCGACAGTACGTATCATATGCATTAGCACTGCAGGCTCACTGGGGCCTAGAAGGGGGTTGACCCGGTCTAACTCGCATGAGCGTAAGCTTATATATCACTTTTGAGCGGGCTTTATCAGTAAGAGTATTTGGCTTAGCTGGTGATGCATGTTATTTTTCAAGCTCTCTTCTGACCGAGGAGCGCGCTTGCCGAATAACCGGCAAAGGCAGGGCCCGATAGGAGGTGGCGGAAAGGTAAGCCGCACCGAGAAGATGTTCTCTTCTTGATTAAACCTGGAGACTTGAAGCTGGGTTAGATAATCTCCCCAGTAAATTGGAAAACGGACAGGAAAACGGAGTAGACTTCTAGGGAATTGTAATCACTCATGCATTCACCGCTACCGGTTTCTCGGAGTCCCAAGAAAGGGCCATAGTCTGAATCTAGTGGCGGGTTTCGAGTGGAGCAAGTCCTCATATGCTCAGTGTCACTAGGCCTTTCTGTCTGTCTGCACAACATGGATCGACTGACTGGACATCAATTGCCAAGATGCCTGTTCGAGGATCAGTGCGTATCGCCCGGACTTCAGTGATAGACTCCTAGGTAGGCTAGTATTCCGAGACACATCTCAACTTCTGGCTAGATTGTGTCATTGAGATGAAAACAGTGATAGAAGGAGGGAAGCTCGCTCATATCGGGAAGTAGTACAGAAAGATGGGCTAGGAGGAGGAGAGCCTCCTGCATGGTGCATAGTGAACCATTCATTCTGGATGCTGGCAAATAAAGTTGAAAAGATAGTCTAGATTGATAATGGGGTGACGGAGTGGCTACAGCAGTCACACATTCCGAGGAACAAGATACCAGCGCTGGTGCGATTCTCGGAAGCAGCACGGAGTAGGTAGTTAGTTCGGGAGTATAGGGTGTTACATTTCGAAACCAAGAAACTGATTTGCGGAGTAGTCTAAAACATGTCGGCCGAGTACAAAGTCGGGCTGATGATGGCTCTCGACGGCAGCTTTGACACACTTCATGGTAGTAATTGAGTAACTGTGGCTGAGAGGGGGATTTCTCCGTATGACCGCAAGCGCACTGCAGGACTCTGTTGTGACCAAAATGAGGGGACTTAGACAGGGGTCATGAGAGCCTCTTCTCTGAGATGACAAGATAGCAGTCTGTAACAAGACGGGAAACAAACGACAGCAGACTTCATCGGCAGCCGCTGTCACTGAACGGTAATGCTATAGCTAGGTCTGTTGGTTCGATGTGGTCACAGTCTTACATGACACGCATCTGGCCAAGGATTGAAGTGCATAGCATGATGATGTTCAATGGAGTTTCTATTAGAGCCAGAGGTTAAGTGCTCAATCTATTGATCCATTTCCGATACAGACATATATTCAACGGAACTGTAGGTCCGGAAAATGGATACAATGTGACTCGGGAGAGAGTGTCAAGATTGAACAGGAAGGCGCAGCAACGGAAAAAGACACAGTATGGAAAGGATCCTTCCCATAGATTTTAATTGCCGTCTCATTGCGTGAACAAAGTTGCCTGCATTAGTGATACGGTTCGGTGGGATACTGACACGAACCAAAATCTAAAATAAGCAATGACTCGTCGAATATGTCGACCGAGCTGGAGCAGTCAGGCACAGAATCACGATTTCATAATTCTCATTACGAGTGTCATGACAGATCGGAATGACTTGGCTGATCTAGAATAGCCACGACCCAAACAATCAGTATCGGAACATGCATGGACTGCAGCGATTATAAGATGGCCCAGATATAAAAGAAAGGCACAAAATGAGACACAGCTTTTAGGTAGAGAAGCTGGCGCACCATTCGTGGTGGAGAAGATCATAATACTGAGTAGACGGAAGCGTACGAATTTGATAGAATGGGAAGAGAAGATGCACGTGTGGGATGCAGCTCGAGCTGAGATAGCGGCGGCCGTACAATTTCTGGCTGTTTCACTTATCCAAGGGGCTCTAATCCAGATCAACATGCACGGATGGGTTCGACACCATCACTGGAGATCGAGGTTAATTTCTGCAATAAGAGCAAACCAGGTGGGGGCAAGAGTCCCACCAACCTGGGTCTTGATTGCCTTAAAGGAGCCGAGGCTATGAATATTGTGACCCTGATTATTACTGTTTCTGCTGCTGCTGCTGCTGCTGCTAATAACACTGGTGGTAGTAGTGTTACCAAAATTCTGACGCTGTCAGGGTCGCTAGGATTGTATGTACTAGGATTGTTAGAGTCACTTGTGTCGATGCTGCTATTGTTGCGGGTGTTTTCATTTTTCTTTTCTGTAGGGTGAGCCTCAGCATGTTTTGAGAGGCGCCTAGGATCTGAGTCTGGGTATATGCTGTAGTGTCCATGTTGCTGGCTTTTGCGAACTGCTGCAGCGTCAGTAGACAGGAACCCCGATGGTATCTGTCCGACATAAAGCCTTCTAGGCGGCAGTGTAGTTGATAAAGGCTGGGCTGCTTGCCACTGAGGAAGGCGTATATGACAGTGATGGCTTAAGTGACGTGCGTAGTGGTCAATGCCACGAGAGAATCTGTTTTATGCTGGATGGCACAGCCACGAACGGGACTATGACCAAAGGAAGGGTATCCGGCGTCAAGGCCATGACGATAAAAGTTCGGCCATCATAGCTAATCATTTACACAAGAAGTCGGGCGATGAAGGCGTTGCTTGTAACTGCAATGACGGGAAAAAAGACCGAACTTCTCGTATCTAACTCGTGATCGAAACGGCATTACTGAACAAATAACAATCTGGTTTTGTGGTGAGGCTGCAGCACGGCGGTTAGATAGAGTTACCAGTTTGAGACTGAGACGTTCATTGACACGAAAGCCCTTA